CGCAGCATATTGAATGGTGTTCCTTTGACAAGCTTTCCACAAATTTGAGCAGCATAATGGTGTACTTTAAGAGGAAAACCCTGATTTTCTCCCTGTAAGTTCAGCCTCTCCTCCAGCCCCCGACACAGCATTCAGAAGCATTTCACGGCATCAAACACATCTCAAACCCGCTTTGCAAATCCTTTTGCCTTCTCTTTGCAGCCACAGAAGCTCCCATCAACTACAGCTACTGCAAATGCAAAGAAACAACAGCAGAAAAGTAATGAAAATCTTGAATGTAGCTCTCCTAATGGGATGTAACAGCTGGAACAAAGATCTAACCCAGCTGGGAGAGCCATCATTTTCTTCTGCAAGTGAGAGAACACGTGAGCAGCGATGACAGGCTCTTCACAGCCACACCACGGTGTCTCAACCACGTCAGAGTAAATCCATTCAGTTTGGAACACAAAGATTATGTCCCTCAGCTGACAGCCCTGCTAACTCAAACCCCACTGGTCTGACTCCGAGATAACGCCCTGACAATGAAGATGCTACAATTGGAATTTAATTAATTCTACTTATGCAAAACCATGGCAGAATTAAGCTCATTCATCCAGAGCTGGGTTTGTACAGTAACTTATTTCAGGAGCAAAAGGAAACAATTCTGAAATTGCAGGGAGATGTCAGCTCAGTATTAAGATGTCCTTTTACAAACCTTTTTAAAGAAAGAAATACAGGGATCGTTTTAAGAGACATTGTACAAAAACCAGCACATCACTGGCACAAACACAGCATATTCCCCTTCTCCTCAAAGAAAAAAAAAAACAACAAAAAAAACACCAAACAAAAAGACTGTGATACTTGTGTTACTTCCTTCCCTGTTCACAGAGGGGAAAAATGCCTTTCCCCACTTTCAGTAAGCAAACCCAAAGCAAGAGAGGCATACCTGAGCTCTACAAACTCCAATCCTCAGCACCAAAAGATTTATTTGCATCATCTCTATGTCTTTTCATCTCAGTCTTAGAAACACTGCAGCACAAACATCTTGCCCAGAATTTGTAACAACTTTATGAAAGGACAGCTCAGGCCAAATCTAGGTGAGCTTCTTTTTCACCTAACTCCATCCTCCTAAACCCTCTCTGCTGTCTCCTTTAATTGCTTTAAAGATAATTTCTGTGTGGATTGGGATACAAACTTCAGAGCTGCACTTGTGCTGCTGGGATACATGGGTTAATATTGCACAGTCCCATTTCTAGACTAACTTGCTCCCAGATTTGGGGAAAGTTGTACAAGTAAACCTATTTAAACTGAGAAATTCAGTTTGCAGCAGATAGTTGTTCCTAAGCTTGGTTACACTGGCACTGTCAGACTTGATCTCAATTATTCCTGAAATGATGAAGCAGAGCCAGGAGCAGGCACACTCAGCTCATCGCTTTGCTTCACGGGGGATCCCTGCAGCAGTGAGAACTTCCCTTCTTCAGAGAAGGGGCACAGCCTCCAGCAGCAGCACTTCCAGGCTGTGGTTACTCCTCTCCTGACCAAGCCACTCACAGTGTGCTTCCCAGCTCTGCACACTCTCCAAATTCACCCCTGCAGAGGAATCCAACACACTCAGCCCTCACAGTTCCCTGGATCTTGATGCTGCATCCAATCCACCACCAGCTGACAGCAACATGCCTCTGGTGCTCCTCTCACCTGTGGCTGACACCTCATCAGCACAGTTCCCATAGCCTGGACAGAAGTCCTGGCAAACATTCCCAGCAGTGCATTTCAGGGCTCCCATCCCTCTCCAGCAACCTCCTGCAGGTCCCAGTACAATCTCTGAACTGGTGGTGGCCAAAGTAACCCCCAAATCCACCATCAGTGAGTCACCTTCTCCCTGCCCAGTGCTTCAGGCAATCAATCATCCATCCCAGCTCCAGCCCCTGCCAGACCCAGCTGCTCTGACCTCTGCCCCGGGGGCTCTCCAGGACTTTCCCCTCCACAAGTACAGGACACGTGGAGCAGCAGCTGCCCACAATGCCACAGCTCTCCAGCACGCCAAAGGAAGGGGGATCCTGTCCCTCCTGGCACAGGAGGCACAAGCAGCCCTGTTCTCCCAGACACACAGCCTACAACCCCCTCTCCAGGGTACCCTTGCTCCTCCAAGCCCCTCCACTATGGAGATCCCCCTCCATTTCCTTCCTATTACCCACAGATGCAGCAGGAGCACTGGCAGCCCCATCTCTGCACACAAATCTCTGCCACATGACACCCTCCCTGCCCACATGTAGGGCAGCAAAGGCCCCCACACACACAGATCCAGGACCCTCTAACCACACCCAAGCCTGAGCCTTGCTCCTCATTCCCCACATTTCCTGTGTTTAGAGCTGCCAGGGACCCTGACAGCCTCCCTCACCCTGCAGGCAGATTGTCACCTCCCCACCCCTTTGTGACCCATCAGCATCCTTTCCTGACATTGCCAGACCCAGCACACCCCCAGCATCCTCTCAGGCCCACTGGCAGCATTGCTGACCAAGCCAGCAACTGGACCCCCCATGTTCTGCAGGTACCAGCAGGACATCCATCCCCTCAGTAGCTCCACTGCAGGCTCTGCAGGGACACTCACAATCCCAAGGGACACACAACTGCATCCTCTGCTGTAGGCCCAGAGCCAGCAGTGGTGCTCCCTTCCCAATTCCCATCCCATCCCAATTCCACACTGCTGGGTGACCCAGCCAGCAGTCCTTGGCACTGATTGCCAGGCCTCTCCTCTTTCTCTTCTCCCACTTGCTGTAAACTCACCCCCCCCACCATGCTCCCACCCCAGCACCACCTCACCCCAAATCCACTGAGGCCTGGGCATCACTTCCACTGCCCCCACCATCACTTCCAGCTCCTTCTCCACCTCACTGGCTAACTCCAGTCCCCCACATATCCAGCCAAACCCCTTCTCTGCACCCACATGAGGACACCCATACCCCATGCCATGTGCACTAAATTATCCCCAGCCCCAACCCACCCCTTCTGCACTCCCAATTCCCTGCCACACTCCCACATGCTGTGCACTGCAGCTCCACTTCCCCCAAAACACGTTAGTGCATCCCTGCCTTCCCACATTCCCCATACACATGTTCCCAGCCCCACTGCTTCCCCCCTGTACACAAACATTCCCAGAGCACCCCAACAACAGGACTTCCAGGCACACCACTCCCTCCCCAGGCAGGAGGGACTCCAAGCCTTGCACCCTCCATCCTCAGCACTTCCCCTTGTGCCAGAACAGTGAACCCCACACACCTGCATTGGGCCCCCCCAGCACTGTCCTAGGGCACAAAAGGTGACCCAAAGATGAGCCAGGAGAACACAGCAGCACATCCTCCCATGTACACATCCCACCAAGGAAAAGAGGCTGGCTGTCCCTTCTCCCTCCAGTTCATCCCCCTCCCAGATTCAGAGCATCCCAGCCATGGGGGGAACAGTGCCCTCTCCCCCTCCTGTACTTGTGTCTCCCCCTCCCCAGCACCCTGCAGCCAGAGAGAGTGGGACAGCACCCCCATGTCCCCACACCCCAGACCCACAGCCACAGAGTCTCCTTTTCTCCAGCTCCAGCCCCACAGACCCACTGCCCCACAGTCCTCCCTGGCACCAGGACCCCCTTGCCCCAGCGCTGCTCCACAGCTTCCCTCCCATCCTCCCAGTCCTGTGCACTGCTCCACAGCCCCCAGCCCACGGGCTGATCTTCCCCAAACACACACCTGGCACTCACTGACCCCAAGACCCCAGCACTGCCCAAATCCCACCTCCCCACACCCTCCTACCCTGCCCAAATAAATGACCACACCTCCACGACCCTCCCCTGCCAAGCATCCCCAGCTCCTGGCACTGCCTGACAATCAGCAGCTTCCAGCTGCCCTCCCCACACCTCCACTGTGCCACCCCACAGCCTTCCCCCACAGCCTCCTACCCAGGGTCACCAGTGCTGCCCAAACCCACTCCCCTGTGCCCTCCTGCCCTGTTCAAACCCACCTCCCTGTATCCTCCTGCCCTATCCCCCAAACCAACCTGCCTGTGCCCTCCTGCCTTGACCCCCTGCCCTGCCCAAACCCACCTCCCTGTGCCCTCCTTCCCTGTCCCCCAAACCCACATCCCTCTGCCCTCCTACCCTGTCCCCCAAACCAACCTCCCTGTGCCCTCCTGACCTGATCCCCAGACCCCTGCCCTGCCCAAACCCACCTCCCTGTGCCCTCCTTCCCTGTCCCCCAAACCCACTCCCCTGTGTCCTCCTGCCCTATCCCTCAAACCAAACTCCCTGTGCCCTCCTGCCTTGACTCCTGCCCTGCCCAAACCCACATCCCTCTGCCCTTCTTCCCTGCCCTGCCCAAACCCACATCCCTGTGCCCTCCTTCCCTGTCTCCCAGACCCACATCCCTGTGCCTTCCTGCCCTGTCTCCCAGACCCCTGCCCTCCCCAAATCCCACCTCCCCATACTCTCCCGCACTGCCGCCCAGACCCCAGCACTCCCCAAATCCCCCTCTCCGTGCCCTCCTGCCCCAGCAGTGCCCCAAACCCCCTCCTCGTGCCCTCCTGCCCTGCCCCAATCCCCCCACCCGCGCTCCTGCCCCGTTTCCTCGCCGGGATGGCGGCAGGGCTCCCGGAGCTCACCCAGCCCGGCCCCTGCTCCAGCAGGCTCTCCCTCCGAGGGCCGTGTCCGGCCGCATGCCCCCGGCCCAGCCCCAGCCCGCACTCACAGAGCTCGCAGTAGCGGTGGCAGCCCCGGCCCAGCCCCTGCAGGTACCGCTGCAGCACGTCGGTGAGCAGGTCGCAGGCCGAGACCTGCACGGAGTCCCAGCCGAGGGCCTGGCAGATCTGCGCCACCGACACCCGCAGCAGCCAGCGGGAGTAGGTCTCGCACATCCCGCCGGGGCCGGGGGCCGCGGGAGCTCTCACGCACCGCCCGCCGCCGCCATCGCCGCCGCCATCTTGGCGCCGCCCCGCCCCCGCCAGGCAGCGCCGCTCCAGCGCCGAGCGCATCGAGCGGGGCGGAGCGCGGGAACGCCGCCCGCAGCGCCCGGAGGCCGCGGCCCGCAGCTGCGGGAAACGGGGCTCGGGACAAGGTAAATACATCGATATCCCTACCTCGCTGGGCTCGGGAGGAGGTAAATGTGTAAATATCGGTACCTCAGCACCGCCAACTGTCCCCCAGTGCCCGAAGGGATCTCGCAGGAAGGATGCGACAAGGCTCTTTACAAGGGCAGGTAGTGTCGGGGCGAGGCGGAATGCATTCCAGCTGAGTTTTAGATGGGATATGGGGGAGAAATTCTGCGCTGTGGGGGTGGTGAAGCACTAACAGAGGGGGACCAGGGTGGATGTCCCAGTCGTGGTGGTATTCAAAGTTAGGTGGGACAGGGCTCTGAGCAACCCGGGATAGTGAAAAGTGTCCCTGCCCATCGCAGCGGGTGCAAGCAGATCAGCTTGAAGGTCCCCTCGAACCCAAACCATCCTGCGATTCTATGATTCTATAAACAATCCCAGTATCTCTAAATAAATATAAATATCTCAATGTATCCCAGTGACAGCTGTCAAGAGGAGGGTGCCAGACTCAGAATTCTCAGTGATGCCCAGTGACAGGATGAGGAGCAATGGCCACAAACGAAACCAAAGCACAAGGAGTTTCACCTATCAAGAGGAAGAACTTCCTTACACAGAGCGTGGCAGAGCACTGGAACAGGCTGCCCAGGAAGGTTATTTTCCTCTTTTTTTTTTTCCTTTCCAGTTGGATGGAACACCAAATTGGCAGCAATGAGGAAAGTGTTTCTGGGTGGTATTAAAGAAAAAAACAAAACCAAACAATGCCCCAAAACCAACAACAACAACCAAACAAACAAAAAACAAACAACAAAAAACCAAAAACAAACAAAAAAAAGTAGGAAAAGGATGGAACTCTGGTAGCAAAAAGGATCCAGAAACAAAATATTTAATATTTACAGTAAATGAGTGGTGTAGAAGATTACAAGGAGGAGCAGCACAGCTCTTAACTCAGTGGTGGCTGTGGAGATACACAAGAGCTAAACTGTAACTTTTATTTGTGTGTAACTAATCAGAGCATGGAGGACAGAACTGTAAATAACAGAACTCTCGTATGAAAACCTAATTAGTTCATAAATTAGCACTTTGGTTTCTGAGTAGTCTGTTGCATCAGTCACATTCACATCTCCCATCTGCAGCCTGAAGAGCAGGACCTGGCCCAGAACAAAGTCCTGAAGCTCCTGGTTTGGTTAACAGCTCAAGGTCCCAAGGGTGGTGCCCCTCAGGGCTCCATACTGGGACCAGTATGAACTTCTCTGGGAAACCTGTAAAGAATTTCTTCCCAATACCCAATCTATCCCTGCCCTGATCAGTTTAAAGCCATTGCCCCTTGTCCTGTTGGTCCATGCCCTTATCCAAAGTCCCTTCCCAGCTCCTCTGGAGCCCCTTCAGATGCTGAAAGGTCTCGCTGGGACCTTCTCTTCTCCAGGCTGAACAAAACTCTCAGGCTGTGTCCAAGCAGAGGTGCCCCAGCCCTCTGACATTTACATTTCTATACACACACTGTGCATTCTGAATAACCTCTGTAGTGACTCACCTAATTACATCAGTTAATTTTAAAAATTCAACATCTGCAGTGGCACTACAACGTTCAAATAAGAGAGATCAGTGTTCCAGCTGTGTGATGCAGAGGTTATTCCACTTTCCTCCTTCAGCCCACAATACAATGTACCTCTCAAAGTAGGGATCTCACTTCATTTTCAAAGACAGGGTGAAGTCAGAAAATCTCTTCCACTCTTCAAAAGAAACATCCACTCACGTGTTTCACGTGGCAAATTAAAAGTGTAGAGCACAGACTTTTAAAAAACAAAGTTTCAAAGCACACCCAAGCCCAGCCCAGATATTTTAGACTCCCAAGAGCATTTGCTTCACAGACAACCAAAAAGATGTGTTTCATGGAGGTGGTTTATTTTAAGAATTTACAGATTTCTGGGGCTTTTCCACTTCTTCACAAGATAACAGAGCAGTCTTGTTAACACAGACACAGGCAGGCTAAACCACATATGCTCAGAAGAGCTCCTCTTCACCTGTAATGAAAATTGAAACAAATTAAAACCCTTTCATCTATTTATGTATTTATTTTAAACTGCTGTCTTCCCCAATTTAAATACTTCATTAATATTCCTTACCACCCCCCCACTATTCGTCACATCTTTTTTTTTTTTTTTTTACATTTCAAATTTCAAATTACATTTTAGACTTGGAATATGTTTATGTTAATACAGAAACCTCTTTAGGTATGTCTTACATACAGACATTTTTAAGCAATTGCATTAAGTCAGGCAAAAACTCAAACAGTAATTCCAAATGAGTCCATGGCTTCATAATAGAAAAAAAAAACACACAGAAAATTATAACTCATCTGGGATTATGTTCCCATGGACATATTTTCCTTAAAATTACTGAAAATTAAGAACTCTGTCTGGACAAATTCAAACTAAAAATGTCCAATTTCACAGCTGTTTAGGAAGAAAACTTTCTGTCTGACCAAGACCACTAAATTCTGACTTCCTCATCTGAATTTGTATTTTCTGTGGTAATTCATTTTATAACACAATTCAGTTTCTATGACATAACTTTACCTCTTGGATTTGGCTGAACCGCTTTTTCCGATTAATCCCTGGTTATGGTATTATGAGAAAAAACAAAACAAGCAGGTTAGGAAGCAACTCATGCAAATTCAGGCAAAACTCTGCACGGATTTATGACCACAAATGTATTGTGAGGAGCACAATACAGCACTGAAATCATAGAAAGTACATGTTCCAGGCATTCTGTAAATACACAGGATATGAACACATGTATTTCCATACAGAGCACAAATTTTTAACTGTTACAGTAATACACATGAGCTACATGCAGTTACAAATTGTGGTCTAAGCCCACACATTTGTAACCTGCAGCACACACCTGCACAAAACCTCATCCTCAGGCAAACAAGCAAAACGCTGAACTTCAAGTAAAATACATATTCCATATGAAAATATTCTGGAAATTCCCCCCTTGCAAACCCAGTCCCAAACTCTCAGCTTCTGAACACTTGATTTATCCAAAAGCATTTCAGTCACACCATTTGCTCTCTCCCACTCAACACTACTGGGCTATTTGACCAGGCAAAATAGGAAATGTCCAGGTGAAAGGGAGGAGAGGGAAAATCCATCAAAGGCCAGGAGGAAAACCCTCACCTCTCCAGGCAAGGATGCGTGGTGAGGCTGAAGATCTATTTTACCAGCTTTTAAACTGTATTTGATCAGAAAAAAATTCCAAGCTTCTCTCTGGTTAGTAGAACTGCGCAAGCTGAAAAGCTTGGGAGCCATGCCAGGCACTGCCTTCCCTCTGCTTTTAGAGCCTACAATCCCAAAGTTTGCCTGTTACCCTGGCACACAAGCAGCACATGACTGCAAGAGCTCTGACTGCACCTTCATACAAATACTCACAGAGCAGCAGCACCAGAGATGATCTCAATGAGCTCCTTGGTGATGACGGCCTGGCGGGTGCGGTTGAAGGTCAAGGTCAGCTTGTCAATCATCTCAGCTGGAACAAGGCAAGGTTGGAGTTTAAACACAAAATGAGTGTGTAAATGTGTATAAATGCACATACACAGAAGCTGTATGGTCACAATATCCAAGTGTCTTGCAAACCACTGCAAATACCAAGAGGCTTAGTGCAACCTGATGTTTTTTCCCTACAGGTAATATTACCAGTAAACAATCCAGAAACCTGAGAATTTAGCTTGTCAGTTAAACATCTGCAGAACAGCTGGCAGACTTGCAAATACCAGGCATGACATAGCTTATTGTAACATAACACAAGCAGGCATCATTAGCTTTGAAATTAGATTTCATTGTCAATTAACTGCATTGTTATTTCCTTCAAGCTGTGCCAAAAGGAGACTTTTCTCAATTATTTTTTTTTCTCAATGATTTTTAAACACAGCAGGTATCACCTCTTTCTCTCAAGCTGGTCATCACAGCCAGGTCATCACTAATCACCAGTATCCTTCCCAAGGAATATTCATATGTTCTCTACTTTCTCCATGACAGGTGGTATTTAACTATTGTTTAACTTTCCCCATCTTAAAATTGCACTAATTATATTTGGTGAATGGGTAAGTACAGATTTATAAAAATTCAGGAAATCCTCAGAGCAGCCACATGAAAGAAGCATAGAGAATATTTAGCCATTACACAATTAGTTTAGTATTTCATACACCTTTTAAATAATCTGTTATTTCATTTCTAGTCCTAGGCCTGTTTCTTGGCAGCAATCCCTCTTTCCAGGGACTAAACACAGTTCATGTTTGAAACAGAATCTCAGTTGAACTGGCTCAAAAAAATGACTCAAAGTGGAATTAAGATAGGAAACAGCTGATTTTTGGAGCAAAGAACTACACAAAGGAAGGTCAGCACGCTCCTGCTGCACAAGTGAAGTCCTGCAAACCCAGGGAGCAGCTTACAAGCATTCTTGCTGGCGTTGTCCATGGCAGTCATCCTGGCGCTCTGCTCGCTGGTGGTGGATTCTTTCAGGGAGTAGTACAGGATGTTTGCTAGCGTGAACTCCTGGTAGTTTCTCAGCACGTCAGCATCAATATCATCATAGATACTTAGGCTTTCTGCAAAACACGGAGGAGCAGGCTTAGACACATCCAAGATTTGCTACTTCCAGCAAAATACAATGCTGGAAGTATTGTAAGTAAATACAATGCATGGAGAAGATCACTTGTCTGGGCTGATTCAATACTTAAGGCAGCACAGAGGGATTTCCTGAACATATTATGTGTACCTTCAGAATCTCTGTGTTAGTTATAATTCTGTTAACTGTTTTATGTGCTTTAATTCAATTTAATATTAGGAAAGTCAGATCAAAGCAAAATACATTATTGCCATATTATGTTTAACCTTCCCATACAATGCTGCAGAAACATTCTGGGGTATTTTTAGTGAGCAGTGAAAAGTCACTCACTACTCAGGCTATTCAGTGCTGAAAATTTTGGAACTGAAAAGAGTTTACATATGCATAATTCTTGCTTGAGACAGAATCTCAAACCAGAATTAGCATCACCTTTCTTTTTAACCTCCTTGCCCTACAGCACCTTTGTGAGCCAGCCTTGGACTGGTCTAGGCCACAATAAAACCATCTGTTAAACTGTGATACGAGCACCATAATAAGATGTTTAATACCATATTCCAATTTTCAAAGTGCTTTTTTTGTGATTTATCACTGCATATAACTGGTGGTTTCTAGCTCCCGACTTACCAGAGCCAGCCACAGTTTCAAAGGAGAAGATTGGTTTTTCATCAGTCTTGTAAGAGATGACAGACCTGTACAAAAGGAGCAAAATAGGCTCTTCATTCAACTAACTCTAAACTGAATGGTTCAGATCAAACTAGAATAGACAACTGCTGGCTTTCCAATGCCACAAAGTTTTGTGATAACCCTGATGAAAAGGTCTTGGGCACCACATGGATATAATGATGTGTTGACTGTAGATATAACAGCTATACACAAGTTAAAAGGCAGTTCCAACCACAGCTACTAGAAAAAACAGCCCAGTTCTTGACACACAACAAAATAAAGATGTGAATATGCCAAATATCTACTTTCAGTTTTCAGTTATATTCAGCTTTCATACAACTTCATTGGCCAATATGCTCTTTGAAGCATTCTGCCCAGTATTTTTCCAGTGAAGTTTCAGTTCAACCTTACCTGAACCGATTGTAGATGACAGAGCCCTCATCAAATTCATACCCAGAGTTTAACAGCTCCAAAGCAATGGCTGAAGCATCTCCAAAGCTCGGAGGCCTCCGTCCCACCTCTTTGAATGTCACCAGGAAATAGTTGCCATGTGTCCTGCAGCAACAACAAACCTGTGTTAGAACCAAGGGGATGCTCTAAAATACAGGAGCAGCAAGACTTACTAGAGGTAACTGACTGTAACTTAGTGTTCAGAATGAAACATTTTATTGAATTAGGGTCTGAAAGAAACTTTGCTTTTAGTTCAATTACCACAGTTTCACAATACACACAAGTGTAACTGCGCCAGTTGCCAGCTTTCAGACTTTTATTTCAAAAATATAATAGTGCTGTGTAGCAGTCCCCCAAATTATGTATCAAAACCACTTGTCAGATATTTGCTAATTTTTTTTACAGGAACGTGAATTTAACACAGTTCCCTTCAATGCAATTTCCTGCCAATTGCACACAAGCTTACAAACAGTCTTGAAATTTCTACCACAGAAAACAAAACTCCAAACGAAACTTTTGGGTGCCATCCTTTTTACCTTTGAAGCAGGCCTCTGATCTTGTCACCTACTCCAACCACCATAACCTCTTTCCCTGCATTTGAGAGGTTGGTAATCTCGTTCTTCAAGGTTTTAGCAATAGATGTATGGATAGCACCACACAGGCCTCGGTCAGAGGACACACCAATAAGGAGGTGCTTCTTCTTGTCCTCAGGTGCCTTTATTTCTGCTTTCTCATAAAGAGCTGGGAAAAAAAAAGATCATTACATGTTTTTCAAGGGTGCCAAAAAAGCAAGTAAGTAATAAAAAATGCTCTGAATTATTCTAAGTAAAACCTATTGGTTTTAGGGGCTTCAGATCTCAGCCAGATTAACTTTATCTCCTTTGCAATTGTTTCAAGTTTGCACGTGGTCAGATCAGATGTGAGCAAGAAACAATTCAAAGCCAGTCACAGCTCTGATCAGATCAGTGAAGTTCACTGTGCAAATTCTTTTGGAAACAGACTACTGGAAGGTTAAAAAGCCTTGGCATTTTATCACCAGTATGAAAACCTCCTCTTCTGCTCCCCCATGACTAAATAAATGCAAGATCTTTCTCTCACACAGAGCTCCTGTTCCATAGACCCTCGCAGGCTTCAGCTCCCTCTCAGCTCTTGCGTATTTGGCTGCAGAAACCATCTTCATGGACTTGGTGATCTTCTGGATGTTCTTGATGGACTTCAAACGCCTGGTGACTGCAAGGTTGAGAGTTCAAGGTCACAGACTGTACTGGGCATACTGCCTCA